ATGATAATTGTGATTCAATGTTTAATCATGTTTACTATGTTGATTACATAATTCTATTCACATGAAGGTGAATTTTTGTTTTATGTTTCAGTAAATCGCTTTGTCAATCGCTTTGTCAATAGTTCTGATATTGATAGTCGACATTAAAGACAATTCATTGACTGATTACGTTGGTGGCAGTGTTGTTTCATTTCCCGTCCTTATACCGTATGACGTATGACGATCCGTGGCTGAAAGTGGGAGGGACGAGATGAAAAATAAAGCCTTGGGCCGTAGGCCCAAGCCAGGGCCGGCGGAACGTTTTTCAAAGTGGGGGGGGGGCCCACTTATAAGATGAATGGGAATATGAATCATGCAGATCTGGAAAAACCTAGGGGATGGGGGTCAACATTTTCCCCAAAAAGGAAAGGGGATCCGGGGGTCCTCCCCCGGGAAATTTTTGATTTCTAGATGGCGGGAAACGACCTTTCTCGATTTTTAAGCTAGGTTTCTAATGACTTTATTCTTCAAAAATCAAGGTTTTCAAAGAATAGGGGGATCGGGGGTCCTCCCCCGGGAAAATTTTGATACCTAGAAGGCGGGAAATGAGTTTTCCCGACTTCCGAGGTGTCTTTTAATTACTTTTACTTCATGTTCCTTACGGTCGTGTTGATTGCACAAAACGGGGTATTTTTCAACGTTTACCGAACGAATTTAATAGAATACTTGATACTTGTTTTAATATTGATATTTTTTATGATAGTCTTCATATTTTTAAAAGCAAAATAGTTAAATTTGTGTAAGTGTATTTTAGTTTATTTCAGTTTTGAAGTTTATAATATATATTTATATATGTTTTAGTTGAACCTGTTAGTGGCGGTTTTTATCGCTGTTGGTTTTATACTGAATAAAATAAAATAAAATAAATAAAATAACAATCAGGTAAATTTATCCCTGTTATTACAGTAGATAGGCCTTATGTGTGTATACATACATAAAAAAATTGAGTAGGCCTAATTGCATACGATTTTTTTTCCATTAATCCATAAATCCCAAAAAGAAAGGGGGGTCCGGGGGTTCTCCCCCGTGAATATTTTGTTTCCAGAAGGCGGGAAATGAGTTTTCCCGACTTCTGAGGTGTCTTTAAGTTCTTTAAAATTCAAGGTTTTCTCCTCTTGAAAACAGTCAGGTAAATTTATCGCATTGTTATTACAGTAGATTGGCCTTATGTGTATATACATACATAAAAAAGAAATGAGTAGTTGCATACAATTTTTTTCCATGAATCCATAAATCCCAAAAAGAAAGGGGGGTTCTCCCCCAGGAAAATTTTGATTCTTAGAAGGCGGGAAATGGGTTTTTCCGACTTCTGAGGTGTCTTTTAATTATTTTTAAGTTCTTTAAAATTCAAGGTTTTCCCCTCTTGAAAACGGTCAGGTAAATTTATTGCATTGATATTGGAGTAGATAAGCCTTATGTATGTATACATACATTAAAAAAAATGAGTAGTTGCATACGATTTTTTTCCATGAATCCACAAATCCCAAAGAGAAAGGGGGGTGGGGGGTTCTCCCCCGGGAAAATTGTGATTCTTAGAAGGCGGGAAATGAGTTTTCCCGACTTCTGAGGTGTCTTAATTACTTTTAAGTTCTTTAAAATTCAAGGTTTTCCCCTCTTGAAAACGGTCAGGTAAATTTATCCTATTGTTATTACAGTAGATAGGCCTTA